AGGGTAAGGAAACAAGCTTGAACAGCTATCATATAACTATTCAGCAGTAAAGGCAGGCATCTGAACCCATGTCTAGCCTACTGCAAATGTGACTGTTTTCAATATACCATCTGTCTTTTTTTTTTTTTTGTCTTTTTTAGACAGGGTCTAGCTAACCATCTGTATTTTTTAACCAAGGAGATATATACTTAATACAAGCCACAAGGCAAAAATGAACACGGATAATATCGTAAACGTAAATTTTTAAAAATTATTACAGTAAAAGGCACACTATCCTTAATTCCTCTCAAAATACTTTCCCTGGCTCTAAATACATTTATACAATCATTCTTGCCACTTTGAAGTCATCTTTCTTGAGTGTCTTTATGAGGTATGACCAAAAATATGGTGAATGTTGCTACTGAATGCCATTCAATGGAAAGGCAGACTTCTAAAAACATTATAGGTGGGTCTTTATCTACCTTGTTGAATGGACCTGGCCCCATGCAACTAACTTCTGGTTCTTCCCCCAAAGTGAAAATGACCATGAAAGGTAAAAGTTTTGAACTGATTCAAGACATTAAGGCAGCCACCAGGGTGCACAACTAAAGACATTCACAAAAAAAGGACTTCCAAGGGGCTGGGGATTTAGCTCAGCGGCAAAGCGCCTGCCTGGAAAGCGCAAGGTCGTGAGTTCGGTTCTCGGTACCGGAGAAAAACAAAAAAAAAAAAAGGACTTCCAGAACTGCTTTGGAAAGTGGCAAGAACAATGGCGAAGTATTTTGAGGGTGATTAATAGCCATATGTTTTTTACTGTAATGAATGTTTTAAAATCTAAACACACTGTATTTTTTTTTTTAATCACATCTTATCTGAGTTTACAGGCACCATTTGCTGTATTAGACATAACCAAAGGGTATTTATTTTTTGAAATCAAATTTTTAATGTGGAAGATTCTCACCAATATTAGAAATACACACACTATATTATTGGTTTTCACTTGCCTTGTTGATTATTCAAAAGCGTTTTTTTTTTGTTTTTCTTCGGTACCGGGAACCGAACTCACGACCTTGCGCTTGCCAGGCAGGCACTTTGCCGCTGAGCTAAATCCCCAGCCCCTCAAAAGCGTTTTAAGACTGTCCAAAACCACTCACTATTTCAAGGAGTAGTATCCAAATAAAATTCAAAATTAGATAATAATGATGAGTAGCCCATTTCACTCAAAGTAGTTCTCACACACAATTTTCTCCTCTGTCACAAGAAACCCACTGAAATAAGATTACTTATTATCTTACAAGGAAGAGGGTAAGGCTCTCCCAGGTTAAGTAATACAAGCAAAGAACCTGAGCCCATATCTCTGATAATATAACCAATTCTTCCCATCTCACTAGGCTGTTTCTCTAATTTAAAGAAGGAACCAAGATAGTTTTTCGTTGTGATAATGAATGAAGAAAAAAACAACTAAGGTTTAAAAACAAAATTGTTACAAAATTTAATCATATCAAACTGGGCCTGGTGGCACAGGCTTGTAATGCTAGCACTCTGGGAGGCTGAGGTAGGAGGATTGTAAGTTTGAGACCAACTGAGACAACTAAGCAAGAGGCACTTAGTGAGTTTGAGAGATCCTGTCTCAAAATAAAAAATAAAAAATGGCCTGGAGATGTAGCTCAGTACAAAGAACCTATGTATTTTTGGGACATAACTGGTATGGTACATGAAACAAGGCTAACCATTCCAATTTGAAATACTAACGTACTTTCACACAGAGTACCATGTCTGACTTAACTTTAATATCATCTTTCTTAAAAATTACACTATACTAACTATGAATTAAACTTAGAAGGGAAAATGAAAAAAACAACCCAGCAGCTATGTCTGGATGGTATAATTTTTCAAAGGCAGGAATTTCACATCTGAAATTCTCCCTTTAAACTGTTTTAATACAGTAATACCTTTTTAAAATGCCATTACACACACCTCAACCATATGTGAGCAATATTAAATAGGAGATATGAAATGATAGTTGATTTGCATGGCAAGTATAACTTTTTACTGCCTTGCTGGGGATTAAACGCAGGACTGGTACATGCTAGGCATTCTCTCAACCAAAAAACTACATCCCTAGCCTCAATTTAAAAATACCAAAATAACTACCAAGATAATGAAGACTCTCTAATGAAACATGAACATTCAAAACTCGCATCTCTGTAAATCTTACTACAACAGGTGTCAAGAGGGCTAAATTATTCTTATGTACTCAAAGTGTCTGCTGATAACAAAAACTAGTTAAAAGAAATGGATCACTATGACTGGAAAATCTCATTTATAAAGATTTTTATTAAAATACCGTTTTACCCGGGCATGGTAGCCTATGCCTGTAATCCCAGCACTCCAGAGGCTGATGCAGGAGGTGTGAGTTTGAGGCCTGCCTCGGTTACAAGGTGAGCTCTAGGCCAGCTTGAATTACACAGTGAAACCCTGTCTCAAAAAGACAAAAGAAGTGGGCTGGGTATATAGCTCAGCAGCACAAGCGCCAGCCTGGCAAGTACAAGGTCCTGAGTTCAATTCCCAGTGCAAAAAAAATAAAGACCAAAAAAACAAAACAAGAAATTATCTTAATAAAATTTACAGGGGCTGGGGATTTAGCTCAGTGGCACAGCACTTGCCTGACAAGCACAAGGTCGTGAGTTCGATTCCTGGTACCAGGGGAAAAAAACAAAACAAAACTAAATAAATAAATAAATAAAGTTTACAACCAGCAATTATTTTAAAAATAAAAGCAAAAACAAAAATACTTTGTCAGGCCTGGGGATGAAGCTCAGTGGTAGAGCACCTGGACATCATGCTAGCATGCATGATGTCCCACAAAAAAAAAATTTAAAAATAAAGTGCCTTGTCAATTTAGTAAGTAATACAGTCTTTATTCCCATCTCAAAGACATTAAAACAGTTATCTTAAATTTTAGGTATCTCAAATATTTTCCACTAGTTACCTTAAAATGACAATAAAACAAATACAGAAATAAGAGTTTTCAATTACTTATTATTGGAATTCAGAACTGTATATATTAATTCAACAATAAAACCCAAGCATGTGCAGCACTCAGAAAAATGGTTACTCTGATTAGACTTAGCATCATGGCTTTAACAGCCTATCTACTAACGAGCCCTCTTTAACATTTTTGCACAAATTCTCAATTTTAACTTCTGAATAAAACTATTTAAACTCTCCAAAGCAAGAGAATGTTTCTACTAAAAAGTATTCTATGTTTAACATCCCACTTGTACTTTCACAAAATAAAATTTATAAACCAATGGTTTCCTTTAACAAAAGTACAGTAACATATGACTTAACATCAATTAAGAAACAGGCAATTCAAAACATGGGTTCATTATCACTTCTCTTCTTCCATAAGTCAGTTTTATGGTCTAGAAATAGCTTTAAAAAATATTTGTCTTCTCCCCAGTTTATGATATATTTTAAAAATGGATAACCCAAGCTGCAGGTATTAGTATTCCTAATTACCATTCATTCAAGGGAAAAGCAAATATATACATACACATATACATATATATGTGTGTGTATATATATGATAGTTAAGATAGTTCTACTACTAATTTCTTAGTTCAAGGGGCTGAGGATTTAGCTCAGTGGCACAGCGCCTGCCTGGCAAGCACAAGGTTGTGAGTTCGATTCACGGTACCAGAAAAAAAAAAAAACTTCTTAGTTCATTAAAAAGTTTGTACTAATATTGCTTGGACAGTTACATGCCTATATCTTATAATGTGAGTAATTTAAAGATAACAATACCCAATGTATTAACCACTGTTACCCTCCTATTATCTTGTTTTGAAATTTTTTTCTCTTTAAAATAAGAGATTAAATGAACCAGAAAAAAAATGTTATGTCCATAATCACAATCATCATTACTAGAGTTACTTCACTTAGTCTTTATTTCTTAGAAAAGTACGAATACAAAAGTGTAGAAAAATTTAGAAGCGTATGTTCTAAAATTCACTAGAGATATTTCTTCACAAACCAAAATCAGCAAATGGTTGAGAACAGATGTCACCACACCAACCCCAAAGGAAGATGACGAAGGAATGTACTTACGTTTCAAAACAACGATCCACGTTGTCAGACATCAAAAGCAGCATACATAGCTGTTCAAGGGCAATTAGTTGCATGTCCCTTTCATCTCCCTGTCCCATCTGCAGCCATTCCAGCAATGTATCTGGATCCACATCTGCCATGGTTTTTTAAAGGTCTCTGCTTAAATTTAAAAAGTGAAGGGGAAAAGTTCTTTAAATATTCTGGAGGGATTGACTTGAGTTTAACATTTTTCTCTTTCACATTTATTAGAACCAAACCTTCGCGATGCTCTCCTAGGAATTAAGAAACTCCTAAATATGTCTGAATAAAGAGCTGACTGCAATTTTCAACTTTCCCGAGTCCTTGGGTTGAACGTTCAGGTATACTAAATAAAAACCAGTTTTGCACAATAGTATAAGCTGATTAGGTTGCAGCTTAACTAGAAACCAGAGCTGTCTTTGTCAAAGACAGTCAAACAAGCTTTGGATCGCACTACTGCTATCACTAATGTCTGCCAAAAGGCAAAGAACACCTACCAAAGGTTCTTTTTTTTTTCCCCCCAACAAGCTTCTTCCTCTCTTCAGCCAAAACTGATCTTCAGATAAAGGTCAACCCAGTATTTCTTTCTCCTTTACCTCCAACTTGACAAATTCTGTAGACTTTTCGATTTACTTGCATGTTAAAGATACCCAAGTACAAACGATAATTACATACAAAATCTATTTATGAATAGAAAAAATTGTTTAGAAATTTTGCTAGCCTTGCCAACTGTTCTTAAAACTTTAAAAAAGAAATGTTCGAAGTGCAATGGACTAACAGGTTAAAATCAGAACTTAGGCCGATCTACGGCCTCTTCTTCATCCCCAGGGAATGGGGCAGTTAGTTAAAAAATAATAATAATAAGAGAAACAACCCCAGCAGTAAAATCATCACAAACGCTCCTCGTAAGCGCCCTGAGCAGAGGACACATTCGCGTCCCACGTAAGCCCGGTGCAGAAGCGGAGCCGAGCGGCGGGTGGCCCGGGGGAGCCAACGGCGGCCGCCAGAGGGGCTGACCCACCGTCCCGGGCCCCGCCGAGCCCGAGCCGGAGGGCGGGCACGAAACCCCGCCAAGTTCGCCACCTGCGCGGCCCGGAGGTGGGGGAGCCGTGGAGGACAAGACCCGAGC